GGCAATTGCAGGGTACTCTTTGTTAGGCAAAGGAAATGTTAAGCATTAGTTCAGATTTCACAGAAGACCAAAACACCCGTTTATGGTCACCCTCCTGTGGCTGACCAACCAGGCTGTTGCCTCGGGTACCTTCACCAAGTTCTTGCTCTTGTATGGGCTGAACTGCAGTGGACAGACTGAGCTCTGCCCAGCACTTCACTTGAAGACTTGCTCATCTTTAGACATACAGTTGTGCTCACTGACTTTTGTCCTTCCTGATTCAGCTGCACAGCGCTGTGTGAGTTTGAGCAAGGCACATAATCTGTTTTTGCTGCAGTCTCCTTGACTGCAGGAAGATAATGGCTCTTAAGAATTTTTATTATTATTATTAAGAGGAAATTAAACCTACACACCTTTACACAGGCCAGGCTTTGAACTGCATATAATCTGAATGTGTGCTTGTCATGCCATGTGTTTTTATTGCAAAGCTTGTGCTCTGAAATGCCTGTTAAGGGTTGGCCCTTGGAAGAGCCTTTCTTTAGGTTATTGTCTGCAAAATCAATCTGTGCAGAAGAAGCACAGGGATTAGACAGACTTATTTCTATTTATTGCCACATGAGGAATCCGTTCAGACTCAGAGAACACACCAAAGCTTATATTTTCCATTCTAGCTCCTGTTCTCGTATTTTGAGGCAGAAAGTCCCTAACTTATTGTTCAGCCCAAGCTCCATGAGTGGCTTTGTGTAAAGGATTTAAGGCTGGACCATTCCTGTTTGTCTGTGTAGCACTTTGCATGTGTTCAGTATTTCAGCAGAAGAGTTGAGTCATGTTCACACTCAAATTCCAGCCTCCAAAAGTTTCTGCAGCGTGTGCTGCGATACCCCTTTAGATTGTTGTTCTTGTCCAAATATTATTCTGGGATTCATCTTTGGAAAACGGGCCAAAATGATACAGAAGGATAACAGCCTTGAAAAACATCTGCCTAGTGGAGGTAGAAGAGACCACAGCAGCAGCACTGTGATTTACAGCAGCCTCCTGCCTACTGGGAAATGAGCATTAATGACAAATTCACAAGGGAGAAGCTAGACCCTAACTGCTTGGGTTTGGCTACCAAGGGCAACAACCTGCAAGTTCTGCCTCTGTGTTGTTGCTTTGGCAACTCTCACAACACCAGTGAAATGTACTGCATGTCGATACAAATCCAACTTTTCTGGGAGCAGTGAGATGAAATTCATCTCAGAAGTGCTTGCATGTTTTACAATTCATTGTTTTCACTTAACGTGTTGCAGTATATTGTGGTAAATGTGCTATTACACTTTTAGCTTGCTAAGCTTCTTGTTAAGGCATCACTGTAATTTTCCTTGTTAGATTCAGGTTTTAGTGTTTGTTCAGTTGTCTTCCTAAAGGTATAGGATGTGTTTTCTTAAAACACGTCTGAGCAAACATTTTGTGAATTGGAGTCTGGGCGAGGTAGACAGCAGCATAACCAAAACTAAGGTCTGTGAAGTTATTTTATTATGAATTTTGCAGTTTGGTGGGTAACTGGTGTTTGGGGAGCTTGATGTGACACTCAAAATATACTGCTGTTTATTCAGATGGCTGAGAAGTGGGTAGATGGGAATGGAATCATAGAATCACAGAATGCCTTGGGTTGGAATAGACCTTAAAGACCATCCAGCTCCTGGGCTGTTTGCCTCCCACAGATCAGCCTGCCCAGGGCTCCATCCAACCTGGCCTTAAGCCCCTCCAGGGGTGGAGTATCCACAGCTTCTTTGAGCAAACACAGAGGATGCTTCACCATGGCTGTCCACATCCTTGCATTGGTAGTCTGGAAATCCTAAGGCTCCTCATTTAGTATTTCAAGGTTGAGGCTTTACAGCTCAGATCCCTGTGAAACTTGTCCTTCTGGACACACCATTACGTGCTGCATGCTTCCTGCATTCAGTGGGGCAATGTGTGCAGGAGGCTTTGCAGCTCACAGGGCATTTTTTGTTGTGGCTCTTAACAGTGTGCCCCAGGCTTCACTAAATAGACAACCTCATTAAAAGAGGAATAGCGATAGTCAAGCAGTGACTTTCTCATGCCATCTAACTCACATATTTGACATGATTGCTGGGCCCTCCAAGTACTTAATTGATTGACTTAATTGATTTAGTGGCACTGGAGGCTATGGCATGGAAATAAAGGGACAAGATGAGGATAAGGGGTGAAAAAATTTATGATAGGTGCCAAGCAGCCTGAGGGAAATTAGAAATGCTACAGATCTCAGAAGTAGCTAAATCAATTCCATGTGATGTTCAGGGAGGGGTGGGGGGCAGAGGACAAGAAGCAGGAAATGGAGTGGCAAAGGGGAGAGAAAATACTCTTGGGCTGCAGGGACCGGGTCAAGCACGAGGGGCTGATGCATTAAGGATGGTGCCTGTGGTGGCTGCCCATATTGCTGCCTAGGAAGTATTTCAGACTTCCTTCTTTAACAGCAAGAAATGGCATCTGAACCTATGAATAGAATGTAATACAGACATCAGGTTTAGCCTGAAAAGAGCAACTGTTGCAGCACATGACTTAGTTAGCTAATGCAAGGCTTTGTCAGTGCTTGCATTTGAAGATCATAAATGTTTTCAATAGTGACTAAAGTCACACGAGACCTAAAATAATTTGGAAGCTGTGTACAGTGAATTTATTTAACAACTGAAGCTTAATTGTTAAATTACCTTCTAATCTGCGCAATATTTAATTGACTGTATTGAACCGCGGTACAAATTAAGTCTTCTCTGTAATGTGTTCTGCCATACTGCAGCCCTCCACCAATCCCACACCTCACTGAAGGCGTGCTAAATGGCTCATAGCAGCACTCAGCAAAGGTGCCATAAAAACATCAAATAGTTTGTGATGGACTCCACCAGCTTGTGCATTTGGGGGTGTCATAAACATCCCTGAGCTATGAAATGCTCCTTTATAAGCTCTTGACCCACTAGAGACAGGATTAAGTGGTAAAACCCTAAAGACAAAAGAGCCAGAGGAGCTGGGGTGGGAGGGGCTTTACAAAAATGATGCAGTCCTGACCTGGTGTTTTGCAGTGGTGAGTTTGTACCAACTGCAACAGGTGTCATTCCTGCTTAATGACGAGTAAAGAGTCAGACACTCATAAAATAATATTTGGAAGAAAGTGCTGGAAAATGTAAAAAGGACACAGTCCATGAATCAAGCTCTGAAAGCACAGATTCAAAGGAGTACTTGTACCTTCACTGTGGTACAGGTGTGTATGCAACGTTACGTTTTATGTCTATGTTCCAAGCCAGTATCCCTCAAACAAATAGAAAACTCTGCCTGCTCCGTACAGTGAAGCAGGATGATGTTGCAGTCACCTTTACTTAATTTGTGCAGTATATGAGGTATCGTAACCATTACAACCGTAACCATTTTCCAATAGTTAATGAGGGTTCCCGAATAAATCGGAGCGTCTCCATCTGCTGCCTTACATTGTGGGCAATCTTTTGCCATGGTAGAATGGTCTTCAAATTTAATTCCATGAGGAAGGAATCTGATCACAGTTTAATTTCAGTGCAAAATGCTGTCTCACAATCAATAAAGCAATGTCAAAGAACATAGATTTAGTAGGAGCCGGAGATAACGTTCCCATGTCATATGCAGAGTAGAGAGATGGGAACATTTCATTTCATTGTAAGAGATAGAATGCAAGCATGCTTTCAGAGGAATCTAGTAAATCAATACCAGCATGTTATCTAAGAAAGATCATTAATTTTGAACACTTAACACATTGTGAAAGTCTGGAGCACACCTTTAACTTAGCCCTGTTCAGCCCAAAGTCAGCGTCAAGCTTCCATTTCCCTAAGAACAAGCAGTCTCGATCTCAGGAAGTTAGGAGCCATTTAATGAGGAATGAAAGTGACATACGTCCAGTCTGCTGTTTTATATATAGTCAGCTTCCTCTTAGGTTCTGCCTTCCCATTGAAATTCCCGTGCCTGTTCTGCGGGAGCCACGTTACCTGTCACTGCCTCACAGGCACATGGCCCTTTCTCCTCCATACGCACACATCCTCTCTGGTTTTGAATTTTAAAGTGTTCTTTAAACTCTAAAAATAACCGGTTGTTTAGAGATTGCCTGGATACCACGCTGCTTCTCAAAATGTGCTTTTCTCCAAACCAGCAGGAATCTGGACCTCAAAAGAATTCTCTGCGGCTTTGCCTGCTCTCAGAAATATCCCTGGATTAGTGGGGAGCAGGGCTCCCCACTCAGAGGGTGGGAATTCAAACTAATAGGTTGGGTTAGAGAAACTTTTCAAGGACGTTATTCTGAGTAGAACTGCTTCAACGTTACTTTGGTAATGAAATGGTAATTATATCAGAGTGAGAAGGATGCTAGTACTTGGTGTTGCTGTCTGGCCAAAACACGCTTCGTAGGATTATAGAATCGTGAAGGCTGGAAAAGTGCACTAGGATCATCTGGTCCAGCCATCGATCCATCACCACCAAGCTTACTGTGCTTTTTTTGGAGTTCTTTTACTGCTTTAAGTGAAACCTCACCTGCTGCTTAGTGCTGTAGAGATAAAGTGACCCTGCTGTCGATTTGCAGAGATTGGATCTCTCATCCCTCATCCTGCAGTCTGTCCTCAGAGTTGCTCTGTGGGAAGCTACAAGTAGCTGCTGTGCTCTCTTCCTATTCCTACCAACAGGGATTCTGTACCTACAATGCTGTTTACCTTCTAATTGGGTAGTGATATGTGTTAATTGAATTGTATCTCACCTGAAGATACAAAGAAAAATATTCAGTTGACGCTTTTTTGTCAAATTATTAAAAATAAGTCACGTTTGGCCAGATTTTGAAAAGGGAATAGGCAGAAATAGTTCAGGTGTTAATTGATTTTGACACCAGGGAATGCTTGTTTTTAATTCCATAGGTGCATTGAGATCCAGGTGAAGCACCGATGGAAGGAAACGATACAGATTTAATGGAACATTTTGATGGGTATTTCTTGCTGTGTTTTCTTCTTTTTTAATAGCTACTACAGCACCACCACGCAGTTCATGAGATATCGTACATCGCAAAGGATATCACAGACCACCGAGCGTTTGGATATGTGTGTGGAAAGGAGGGAAATCATCGATTTGTGGCAATAAAAACAGCCCAGGCAGTAAGTATCAGATAATTGCCATTTCCTTCATCGTACTTCGTAGAATCATATCACAGAATCATAGAATGGCTTGGGTTGAAAAGGAGCACAATGGTTATCTTGTTTCAACCCCCTGCTATGTGCAGGTCACCAACCAGCAGCCCAGGCTGCCCAGAGCCTGGCTTTGAATGCCTCCAGGGATGGGGTACCCACAACCTCCTTGGGCAACCTGTTCCACTGCTTCACCACCCTCTGGGTGAAAAACTTCCTCCTAATATCTAACCTAAACCTCCCCTGTTTAGGTTTAAAACCATTCCCTCTTGTCCTATCACTATCCACCCTCAAAAACAGCCATTCCCCCTCCTGTTTATACGCTCCCTTCAAGTACTGGAAGACCACAGTGAGGTCTCCCCAGAGCCTTCTCTTCTCCAAGCTAAACAAGCCCAGTTCCCTCAACTTTTCTTCATAGGAGCAGTGCTCCAGCCTTCTGGTCCTCCTCTGGACCTGTTCCGAGAGCTCAGTTGAAAGGCCATGTTCATAACCAGCTCTTTAAGAAGCCCATCTTGTATTCTTTCTGTGTTTGGAGTTTGTTTAGATGTTCTTAAATGGCCAATTAATGAAACCTTTTTTGGGAAAAAAGAAGAAAAGCAATATATTTCACTATTGACAATTATTCTTGATGGGTTTTTTTGTACTTTTTTTTTCCCAGTGATTAATTACAATTTTCCTTTCCTCTGTAGAAACCTTTCACACTGTTTCTATTTCTGTAGGCTGAACCTGTGATTCTGGACTTGCGAGATCTGTTTCAGCTCATCTATGAACTGAAACAAAGGGAAGAAATGGAAAAAAAGGCGCAAAAAGACAAGCAGTGTGAACAGGCGGTATACCAGGTACATGCATAAGCTTAGACTACCACCCAAAAAAAATGCAGTTTGAAGTATCCCCAAGAATTGCTCCAGAGAGGCATGGGGTACCCTCAGCATTTGTTGACAGTGGTAGGTTTGAATGAAAAATGTGAATCTAAGAGATATGGTGAGTTGAGGGGTAGGATTAAACAGCGATGAAAGAGGTCACCTGGGGTAAGATGAACATGCTTGGCAACTTGAAGTGTCCTGCTCATTTCCAAGACAGAGTTTCTTCTAGTTGAAAACTTTAATGAGGGCCACTGTGTTGCAAGTAGTGCTTTTAATATATTGTGCTTTAGAGATGATTCATTGAACTTCTGAATGTGTGCACTTGAGTCAAATCAAATAAGGTGCAGGTTGCTAAACTCTCATGAAACAAGAATGGTGTTACTTTATACAATAACTTGACTTTATGTGCATACTGAAGAAAGAGAGCTATATACTTACCTGCACATTTTGCTTAGTTCTTTGCTGTCCTTTGGTTTCTGAATACAGTTCTTTTATCTCTGCCGTTTATGTTCTTTGCTTTTACTGCCTGTCCTCTTACTTTGCTGTAGACAATTTTGGAAGAAGATGTAGAAGACCCTGTATACCAGGTAATTTCTGAAGCTGCACGACCTGGGAGTTTCAGAAATGACTAGATATGTGTTATCTTCAAACACAGCCAAAGCCTTTCACAAAATGTTTTGAAATGTATTGAGATAGATCTCATGAGAGACTACGTTTTACAGAAAGTAGCACGTTTAGGGATTAAGATGTAATAGCACAGCATTTCTGCATAGAAATACTAGATTGAATCTTTCCTAAAATGTACTTTTTGAGTCCAGATTTGAAGTTTCCAACTGAGATTTGTCATTATTTCCTTATTTTTTTTAACATGCAATCTAACAGAAAAGAGAGTTCCTTCGAAAATAAGGAAGATGACACTTTGTTTTTATAGCAATAAATTGGCATCTTGTTGTTGGCTTCTATGCAGCCAGAATTTCATTCAGAGAGTGAATATTTGTTAAAAAGAAACACAGAGGAATTAATGTTATAATGCTCTCCCTTGTTGGCATTTTGGGTTACGATTTAGTAATAAATCTGTAGTTCAAGTCTTGTTTCATCCAAGCAAAATGCCTGGGAGTAAAGATAATTATCAGAAATATGTCAATATATTCATGTCCAATATCCTGCTGAGTGTGAAGAAGAAAAAAGATGTAATTTCATTCTCGTGTTTTTGTGCTGAGATTTGTGTTTTGTGGAGATTTTGTGTTCTTCCACTTAAAAATACCAGTTGGAGGCACACTGAAAGAAACCAATTCAAGCATTAGTGACTACTGAGCACTGTCTAAGGTGTTTCAAGGAAGATGAGAGAGATTAGGATGCCCTAAATTACCGCTCAGCTTTTATAATGTCAGGAGTTTTACTTTATGTGTTCCTCACAATAAAACAAGAACCTGAAGATGAAAAGTGTTGTGACAGCCTTTCACCATGTGGTATGTTGCACGAGCTCCAGCCTATTCTCCCAGTTTGGATTTAGCTTTTTTATTCATAGATAATAAATACGTATGGAAATAATTGCCATTATGTAAAAGAGGCAAAATTCACGTTGACTTCAGAAAATTAATATTGGACCACAGGCGGTATCCCTAGTGAGAAAGAATTAGGAAGCTGCTCTAATGATCATTAGAGGAGATTTAGGTCTATTCTCTGCTGGTTTATGAAATATGAAACAACCTTACTCTGTGCTTCCCAACAAACCAGTTGTCTGGTTCCATTCAGCCTTTACTTTGAACTTGTTTCTTTAATGCCTGCCTGTGTTTTTATGTGGAATTCCAAATTGCCTTTTTCCCTCTGTTTCATCTTTGACTTTTCCTCTCTGGCTGCTGGTGTAATAGTACATTGTGTTTGAGGCTGGACATGAGCCAATCCGTGAGCCTGAAACAGAAGAAAACATTTATCAGGTATAAAATCACTGCTTCTGTGTTTTCATTGCAACAATTGCGAGCATGTAGTACAGCACATTTCATATATAATTCACTTTTATTAGTTTTCATTCATCGCAAAAAATGTCTGACATTTCATTCTTATGACCTTACATGAATAATCTGCCAGTCTCCGTGTATTTATTTGTTTGTCTGCTCAGCTTCTGCAGGTTTTATTAACTTGATCTGTAAGTTTTGCCAAATTATGAAGGGTCTTAAACCTTGAGCACACCATATAAAGTGATTATTGGTAGGTTCTCTTTTCTTCTTTTAATTCTTAGAAACTTTTTACAGCTGGTCTAAGACACTGATAGTGAAATTGGAGACCATCTAAGCAATTCTTAGGCATTTTATTGCTACTTTTCTTCATTTTTGGCTAAGAAAGAATAACAACTGAGCAAAACATAAGAGTTATCAATGGATATCCCCCATATTAGGGAAAATATTTTCATTGGGTATATATTATGTTAGAGCTGAAGCTCGTGTTCTTCACAGAAGAATTGCATTGAAAGCAATATAAAATAATCTTTAGTCGTTCAATTTCTCTGCAAGGGATCAGTGCAGGTTTTATTAAAATATAAGGTAATTCATTCTGTATCACATACTAGGAACAAATCTGGAGATAGACAGAAATCTCTCTATGCTCTAAGAAAACCGTGATTTGAGGAAATCTTATGGTATGGAGGGGAAGGAGATCCAAGAAGCGATTAAACATTTCATCTGGCTGTTCCTCCTATTAGCAGTGGTTGATAGCTGCTGATCTGCTAATAGGAGAAGCTTTTTTGAGGTAGACAGGAGCAGGGAAAGAACAAAAATGAGGAAAAGTGTTTTTTAAGTAATGAGAAGAGGTAGGAAGGTAACAGAATAAAATGAGCAGGTAGAGTAGCTGTAAAACAGAATAGAAAGAAGCTAAATTGGGAAAGGGAAATGCAAATGAAAAATTAGAAATCACCAATCTTGTAGACACCATTACAGGGTCATTAAGGTGAAGTTTGCATAACCTGTTTCTGTAGATTTCGTGGCATCCCTGCCATGCAAAATAATGTATGCATTACATCCATAGAGCAAAGCATTCAGAGCTCTCAAGGTGAGAGCATGCCTAAGGTTGAATATTTTCTACCACATAATAGAAAAGCTGACTATTTTCAGAAAAACAGTCTTTTATAAAATGACTATTTCAGTTTTGTGCTAGAAAGGAAGGTCCAATGATAACAACATTCAGACATAACAACATTTTGATAGTTCTTCATCGGAGCACAAACAAAGCTTGTAGGGAGGTTGTGAAGAAGTATCAGTGAAAGCAAGCACAAATGAGGTTGTCAGTCCAAGGATTTGCAGATCTGAAGCTGATGGTGGATATGGAAGAAGTAGGATGTATATCTTGAGGAGCTGGCTAGAGAACAGGAACTCACCTAGAGAACAGAAGCACTCATTGGATGTTTACATAAAATGGAAATGTGAGATGGTGAGTTACTCATCTCAAGGTTACTGGCCTGTAAGTCACCAGAGAGTTCTCAGGGTTTCATTTGACAGTCTTGGGATGTGAAGTGTTTTCTCCCACAGAAAATGCGCAGAAGTGCACTGAAAATACCTGTGATAAATAATACACCATCATCTAGGTGCATGCAGTCTAGCATTGTCCTGCTCTTTATTTACTGCAGTCAATACCTTGAAAAGAGCAAATGCTGAGATTAGATACCAGCAGGTCTTATTCTGTGATCTGTCACAACGGGCAGATGCTGAAGTATAGCTGCCAGAGACTTGCCCAGAGCCACTGGCTCCCAAGTTCCCACATACTTCATGGCTTCCTATAAATCTGGGATTCCACATCTTACACTGAGATCACCAGAAAAATTGTCTCTCTTAGAAGATCTTGATGAATGTAGAACCATCCACGTTTTTATTAAAAGTGAAATTGGAAAAGGTCCTCTTTGTTGTTTTGTGTTTTGGTTGGTACCAATCCTCAGTTGCCTCATGTCTCCTTACATCAGTCTGGCATAATCTGTCATCTGGTCTTGCTCTGTTTTTCCACCAAGAGCTGGTACTCAAAAAGTTCTATTCTCCCATGGTAGAAGAGACTTCTACCCAGTGAGTAGCTGAAGATGGAAGATAAATACTGAATGTGATAATCTCTAATTTTGTAAGAGGTCACAATTTCCTTTCTTCTCTGTCTATAGCCTTTCTTTTATCCCAAAAGCTACATCTGTTTGCTCTTTTAATTCTGTCTGTCTACATAATGGAGTAGTTAGAATCATTTAAGTTGGAAAATATCTTCAAGGTCATCAAAGCAACCATCAAGAATTAATCACTGAGCTTGAATTGATCACTGAGCACCCACCCATCCTTTCTCTAGTGTCAGATTTCTTAATGGCATCTCTTTGCCTGTTTTATGATAGTGAGATGGGGATGGGGTTTTGCTATGTATTTTTGTGATGTTTATGTTGAGCAGTGCTCTGTATGGAGGGGCAAGGTCTGTGCTGCAAAGAGTTGACAGTCTAAGGCCAGGGTTTTGAGTTGTGGTGTTTGTGTTCCTGTAAGATGCAAGTACATCAAACTGGTTTGCAAACTGTCCTAGAGGCAGAGCTGTCAGCAGCACTTGTGCTTCTAGCACTATGCTGATATGGCCAAGCAAAGAAAAAAGCAGGAACTGCTGAGGGGAGGAAGAAGAGAATGACTGCAGGGGAAGCTTTCCAGGGAGAAAATAAAAATTGCATACTGGTTATAGTTTATGAATAGTTAATCTCACAGCACTTGTCCTCTCTTCAAGGAAGACTAAGCATTCCAGTAACTTATGAGATAGAGTATTCATGGTTTTGCACAGTTGCCTATCAGTCTGTGAAGAGAAACCCTTTTTCTATTAGACTGAATTGTTCCATTCTCACCAGTCTCGCATACCTCACATGATACATGGCTTTAGTGGAAAAGCCCAGTACTTTCAGAAAACTGAGGGAAACGAGTCATTCCTGGGGCAGGAACAGAAAAGAAATCTTAAAAATAAGCCTGTAATAATAAGTTGCATTCCGTTTCTGTGAGGGTTCTGTATTTATGCCTCTTGATTGCTCCTGTAAAGCTTCTTCTGTGTGCATTGTGTTCAAGTTTCAAGACTTAAATGTGAGCATGCAGGTGCTAGAACAGTAGAGAGACCTTTGGATATAGAAACTAAGAAATAATTATGCAGCTCTGTGAATAAACAGTTCCTTCATCTTTCCCTAAAATAGCCCCATGCTCATATCAAAACTCCAAGGTATTTATATCGTCTTAAAAAACAAAAGGAAAATCAGTCTGTCAAATCTGTAGGATTATTTCTGCTTATTCTGTTAACCTATGAGGTTTCATAAATACTTGAAACGTAACCTTAGGTTGAGTGCCTTTGTTCAGTGGAAAAGCAGCGCCCATTTACTTAGAGCATGTTTGTCTGTTTAGAGCCTCTGTTTTTTTTTTTACTGTTCTTTTAGCTCGTATCATTTACAATAGGCATTTAGTGCTTTTAGGAAGGAGAAGAAATACAGTCGCAAATTATAAATATGTAAAACAGCAGTCCTTAGGCATGCTAAACCCTGTATTACAGAGCAAATGAATTCACACGAGTAGGATGTAAATGCCCACGGTGTAAATTATGACTGTTGACTCACTTAGTTTATTTAATTGTATCATCATCGTCCCTATCCACAAGAGGCTGTTGACTCCAGCTCCCTGACTGCGAGTGGCTGTGCAGCCTCAATGCCTGACAGGCCATAATTCTTTACAGAATTGCAGATTTGTGACCAACTGTCACTTAGAGCAGCCCATGGGATCCAATCACTGCAGGGATACATGTTGTGGCTTCACTTGACTTAGGTTATTAAAAGAATTGGAAGGAAGATATCGAATGCCACAGGCCAAACCTCTCTCTCTCTGATTGCACTGCTGCTCTGGATCTCTTTTACAGAGGAAGATGACATTCTGACCTGATCATAACTCCCATGTCCATCTTCTAATCCCCAAGTAAAATAATGAAGCAACCACTTTTTAGGAAAGAGATCCAAATGCACCTGAATTCCATGCAGCTGGACTAAACTGAGAATGAAAATCTCATCTCTGAGCACTACTGAGTTTTAGGTTTTTAAAAATTCAGATAGATGTTCGATTTCTTCAGTGCCATCTTCATCAACATCGCTGCTTGAATGTCAAGGATACCATCCTTAAACAACTGCCTTGTATTTAAATATCAGTTGCAGACTTCGACTTTTCATCAAACCTGCTGGAAGAGTGACCACAGTGTCTGTTTGCTGTTGCAGGTTCCTACCAGCCAAAAGAAGGAAGGTGTTTATGATGTGCCAAAAAGTCAACCTGTAAGTGTAAGTATCTTCATTATTTATATGCAGGGAAGAAGGTAGGTTTCTTAGTTTCTGTGACCTTTATTATTGCTTGTAGTGTTTGCCACATCCCTTAGGATGTGAATTTCATCAGCGATCTACTGTTGTTGGGTTGTTTCAAAGTAACCAGGGTGGTAATGTCGCTTATATCCATCTCGTTCTTTACTTGAATCTCCTCCTTTTTGTCTTTTCTGGTTGATTCCTATGCAAGTCACCGTTTATGAAAGTGATGTCTAGTTAAGAGTTGACAGTGAGCCTTCTGCATGTTAATGTGTGGATTTTTTGCTGCTTGAATCAGAAGAGTTATTACCCAAAGCTATATAAGCCTTGTCACCCTTTCTCACTGCTACAGTCACATAGCACATGCCAACTGGATGTGGCTGTGTTTTCTCCCCATGCACACCCTGGGTTTTCCTCCCAAACGGTTGTGTTATTTCTGTAGTGCTTGAAGTAACTAACAGGCTGAGTATCATTAGAGGTGGTAGACTGAATTCTTTCTGCTTTGTGCCTTGCATGGACAGTTAATTTTGCTCGAAAAGGAGGGTAATGCACTGTTCTGTCCAAATGGCACCATTCCCTTTCTGCATCTGAGCATCTAGAAGTGGTGAAACATTTATCCTCTGAACATATAAGGAATGGTAACAAGCTGGTGAGAGGAGTGGAATGACAGATGCCTTAGCAAGAAAACATACATTTGCTGAAGGGTGGGTTGTGTTGTTTCATGTACATTTGTGTAAATGAAACAATATCTTGATAAAATGTAGATTGTGTTGGTTACAGAAAATGCATATTTCTGAGGATCTGTATGTGAAAAATGGAGGAAAAGGTCAGGATTTCAGTCTGCTGTAAGCATGGCAGAAATGCCTGTGTTCAGGAGAGGGAAAGAGAGGGGCTCATTTCACACAAGGATGTGGTAAATTGCACAGCTTGGGCTGAGCACAGAGACTGAGATGCCAAATAAAAAAGATGAATGCTGGGGAGGGGCTGGATGGGGGTCTGAATTGTGACACTTCTGAGGTTTGCACAAACAAACAAAACTTGCCATAAATATTTCATGATAATCCACTAGGAGGAGGGAGCCATCATCTTGTTGGCTGGGAAAATGTAGGAAGATAACTCACATTGCATAGCTAATTAAAGGTATTCGTGGACCAGGAATAGCTGTAGATTTTTCACTCATTTTTCGCATAGCTCAGTGTTAGAGTTTTTGCTCTGTATGTTTCCTTTGACTTTTTTATTATTCTTTCAGTGATGTTTCAGATTTACTCTGGGTATAGACTGTAATTTAGGTCATTGCAGTGTAACTGTGTGCACTGTACACTTGCAATCATGCCTGCAGACACTTTGGTATTAGACTGTCCTGCTAAAGAGCATAGCTGTGAGATATAAGGCATATGGAACCGACTCTGTAATCATCAAATATATTCAATGTGTCATCTCTATGGAGTGTGTTGCAGACTTAATTTTTTGTTATTTCTTGGTTATATTGAAGCTGGTTAGACTTCTTCCTCCAAACAAGTTTCTACTTTAATTTATAAGGGGGAAAAAAGAAAAAAGGGAAGAGGGAGAAACGCATAGCAGAGATTTTATTTCCCCTTTTTATAGTAATATGTATTAAAAAAAAAAAAAAGAGAGAGAGAAAAGAAAAGCAGAGATTGCTCTTAAAATTAGCAATTTAATATTCCACTGCCCATCTGATTTATTGCTCACCCTTCCGCGTGTGAGACTCTCTGTCATTGAGACACTTGCCATATTTTTTTTTTTCAATTTATAGCTGTCCTTATTATATAAACCTCTAAAATTCAATCTAAGGGCAAATAATCTAGCTCATCTACCTGGTTTAAACTTATAAGGACACTTCCTTTATTAGGAGGTCTTGCTTTCATTAATTTCATAATGGATGAGGGAAGAGAGAAACTTTTTGTAGCTCCTAATAGGTTTCAGGCACCATGAATTCTCTCTCCTGACAATAAATGCAACACTTAATAGAAATGCAGCAAGTTTTGCTCAGGTTCAGGCTGAATTACCCACGTTCCCTAGATAGAGATTGATTTTCCATCTTGGGGTTGTTTTTCTCCGATGTGTTCTCAGGCAAATTATCCATAGCTTCAGCACATCAAGGTGGGGGCATGGAGCTGGTCATCTTGGTGCCATCCACCTTTGGCTCTTTGCGAAGAGGAGAGAAATGGACACCTCCAGGAATATTTTCCTGTCTTGTGAGGTGTCCCTCTCAAGTGGAGGTGAGAGTATGTCCAGATATGTCCTGCTGTTATTCCCTCGTGGCTCTGGAGGATCTAGCTTTAAAGGATGTGAAGGAATGATAAGGAACTGACTTTCAGATAGTCACGCTTAGTTGGGATGAGTTCTACTGTAATGTTGAGCATAAAAGGCAGAATGCAGCTCAGTTTCAAACACGCTCTTCTCCCAGAACCCTGTTTTCTTCCTGTATCCGTATCTCCCTTGCTCTTGACTCTATTGATTCTTCTTGTACTCATTTTCATTTCCTCTTTGTTTCTTCCTTAGACAAATTCTTATATTCTCAATTCAGTGGGGGTAGGCATCAAGCAGACAAAGAAAGCAAGCTTACCCCAAAGAGCTTGTGTTAAGTGGTACATGCTCCACTTAGAAATTGTAGTTCTGTAAGGGAAATTAACTGTTCTAAAAAAGCAAAGTGTTTAATGAGCTCTTTTTGTTGTAATTTCCCATCGTCCCCCCCCCTTTATACATGCACATCAAGTTTTACCTGTCATGGTGTTTTTAGTAATACGAGTCAGACTGTAAATACCCTTCTCTGAGACTGTCAGTCACATCACAATAAAACCTTCTCATCAAAATGTCTAAACTCTCTGCTTACCATTTTATGAAGGCTTTCAAACAACTCGTCTTAACTGCTGTATAAAGATTCAAAGTGTTATAGCTGAAGCCTCAGAGTGCAGGCAGCCATTTAGCTGTACCATCTACATGGGAAATACTCCCAAAAGAGCACAGAGCAGGCAGGGAGTAGTTGGCTCTTAGGGCAAAGGGGTGGGAAGGCCATCAGCCTACCCAGAGGGATGCTCAGCATGACCTCTAGTTGCAGATGAAGCTGGTCTGGACCAGAGCCCACCCAGGTCTTGGGGCCACAAGGACTCTGGGCCTCCTGCCAAAACGGGGAGCTGTGTTTGGGAGATCTGTGTTTCATTTCTGGCTAGGAACACATTGACATTTACAGATTTTTCAGATCCTATGTCAAAAGAAGCGTGCCTGAAAGGCATCATCTGGAAGCCGTGGGCACGCCATCTCCAGCAGCTCACACAGAAGGTCTGGCCCTGGAGTAATGGCATCAAAAGTCTGGCAATAGAGCAGCTCAGAGCAGCTTTCCAGATGATTCTGATCCTCTAAGAAGTGACTTTTTTCAGTGGCAGTTGGTGCGAAAGAAAACTTTGTAACCATGCCTTTCCCGTAAGTTTGCATCAGTATCCTTACTTTGCACACTGGTGATGTTGACTTCAGCCTCTGGCATCAGCTTTTGGGATCCTGTTTTCATACAGGAGAAGAAAGAGAGTGCACATACCCAACCTCTGACCATCCATGCCTGCAAAGCCTTCCCTTACTACTTACCTTTGCTGAAAGACTCCTGCAGTCAAATGCCTGACTTAACTGCATTCAGTCCAAACCCACGTCCAAGGCTTAACACTGGGCATGGATTCTTATCAGGCACAGCTAACTGTGGCAACATTTGGAAATACATTAGTTTGTTAGGGTAATGTTTTGAGTCTTGTGTTTCTGTGATGTTTGGGGAGGCATTTAGAGCAGTGGATATGCATGCATATCTTTGGAGTAGTTGTGACATTGACTGTTCTGATTTTGTACAGCACTGCATACACTGAGATGTGTGGAGCTGGCATTAGGTGCCAGTCAAGGTCCATCCCTTTTCTGTTCTTATAAGATCATAGTATCATAGAATGGTTTGAGTTGGTTGGTTGAAGATCATGTAGTTCCAGCACCTCTGTGATAGGCAGGGACACCTCCCTCTAGACCAGCTTGCTCACAGCCCCATCCAGCCTGGCCTTGAGTGCTTCCAGGGGGGGAAAGGTTGAAAAGATTTCACTATCATTTCCTATAAAAGGAAATACCTGAGGCACACGGGGAATTCAGAATTAAGAGAAAATAAACAAATGGTTAAGTGCGTGTTTTGATCACATCAAGAGATCCTTAGCTTGAAGGACGCTACTGAGCAGCAGTGAGACAGTTTGTCAGTGCGTTGTCTGTAATCGGGAGCACTTCTTTGTTGAGTTATCACACTGCTCCATGAATCCCACAGCAGTTCTGTGGGATGACAGTGTGCCTGTTGGACATTAGCGGGTCCCAGCCTACTGGATGCGGTTTTACTGATTATTGGTTTAGTCACAGTTCTGCTGTGCTCCTTCGTTAGAGTTCTGATTGTGTTTTTTAGAATGAATTGTAGTTAATTAGCAAGCAGCTTGCAGCTCGTGGAGCTCGTGTAATATCAGCATTCCTTGTGTATAAAGATGTGCAAATAACCGAAGCCTTGATGACCTAGAACGACGGTTTGAACCATCAGAAAAAAATACTTGATGTAGCCAAAATGTTTACATTTACAACTAAAATGAAAAATACATATATATCTTCAGGATCCATGTTAACCATTGACTCGTCATTAAACTTTCCATGTGAAATGCACGTAGGGCTTAAAAGCACAGAGCAGCAGCATGTCCAGGCGATCCCTCTGTTATCTGCTGGGCCAAGTGGAGGGCAGGAAATGTGTGCAAATCCCTCTGCTGTGAGAGGATCTGAATAGCTAATACCCAGCTCAAAGGTTAATTGCTAATTGCTGGTTAATCACTATATTTAGTATCCTACATACTCTTTTTAACTTGCTGAGATCTGTATCAGAGTGCAAGATAATTACTGTGGGTATTTTTTAATTTTTTATTTTTTTTTAGCACCATGTTTGCTTCATTCTCTGGGATTTCAGAGCCATGCTTTAAGAGACTGCTTTTATCATCTCATCTGCAAACGTCTAGCAATATTAATCGGGCTTTTTCCTGCTGTAAGTCAGCGCTGGACTGTTCCTTTGGTAAAACCAGGCCAAGTAAAGGAGCTGACTATTCTGACTCTTGCAGATGTAGAATTGAAGCTAAAAAAAATATACGCTTCCCACTCTTAGATTTCCCTTTTAAACTCCAAACATTGCTTAGAAAAAACTGTTTTTCAGAGTACTTGGCAGTCAGACAGGATACTGCAGTGGAGGTGGATCATTTTTGGTTCAGGTTTATGAAAGCTGCAGTTCACTTATCTCTTAGTGCTTCTTTACTCCTCTGCTGTTGTTTTGGGCTTTTTTTTTCCCCAGCTCTTGGATTATGTGTTTTTCTTTACTGAGCAGTGAAAAGTGTTATGAGGAATTTCATTACTGGCTGGAGCGCTTTAAAAATGCTTGCTGCTGCTTTAAGGAGCCAGATTTACATAGTTCATGTTTAGAAGATTTACAGTATGTCTCACATGCCTGTATGGGAAGATGGAGCTTTCATTACAGGTTTCGTGTCGCCCAGATACAAGGATTAATGCTCGCTCCTCCGCCTCGCTCTGCGCGGATGGCAGCACGCTGCTCTGCTGCCTGAGCTTGTGTTAAGGAGGCACATTTTGGGGTGACGAAGGAGAGAAAGTCCAGAGGAACCCACAGAAGGCAAGATCAGGGGCTGGAGTGTCTTATCAGGCTCTTGGGTGTTTAATATCATCACAGGTTTGTGTTGGAAGGGACCCTAAAGGCTCCCTAGACCGCTGCAGATGCGAGATGCAGCCCTACCTGCTAATGGTGTGCCTGCATTGGGCAGGGTCTCACTGCAGCACAAGTGGGAATTTCCAGCAGTCCAAGCCTGCCTGCGTGCTGCCTCCCTGCTTCATTCCCAGAGCCAACAAAGACTGGGATGAAGTGCTGGGGGGGACATTCAGAGCTATTTCTAAGGCTTTTGGAGCTAATTTTGAAGTGGGTTTACAGGGTGGTGATTCCTACGAAGCTTCTCAGTTGCCTGATGTTTGATTTTTTGAGGATTGATTGTTAAGACTCTTTCTTAGGGAAGTTCTCTATTGCTTCAATAAGTGTTGTCTGAGATTTGGCATTCTGAAGCCACTTAGGTCATGATTTGCCTTAAATATGTCAGTGGGTAGAGACCTGTGCGAGTGCATGGGCACACAGACAGTTGGCTCACACATTCACATAGACATACAAAAAGAATTTAAATGCAACTTGATTTGTGTGAATAATAAGAAACAACTGTGGCAAGAAAGCCAGAATCATAAATGCTGTTACACTGATGTTAGTTCTCCTAGACAAGAGGAAAGCGTGCTTTTCCACAAATTTGCTGTTAGAGTTTTGATTCACAACTGTATTTTTTTTCCTCTGAGCATCTTAAGCCCTTCCCTTCCCCAAACATTGAGAAGTTCCATTAATGTCATCAGAACCAGACTTCATTGCGAATGCTAATTGCTGAATTAAGAAACATCTGAAGAAGTAAATAGTCGGGGTGCAAGCATTGACATTGTTGTATCCATCAGAAGATTTAGCATGGATAAATTGTGTTTTTCCCCCATCTTGCAGCATCTGAGCTTGTTTTGACTGTGTGATTTCGTGTCTGTATTCACTGCAAGATGGAAAGGGTTTTCATTTCAATAGTGGAGTCAATAATTACAGAGGTTATCATTTTCATGCTCAGAAATTCATGTCATTTTCATAAATCATTCATTTCATTTCATAAATCATGCTTTACAGCTGGAGAATGGAAACTTATTGCTGGACATTGATGAAAATCTTGGTTCAGTCACTCAGGTAAGGTTGTGACACTAAAAATGTTTTAAGGAGATACAGATGAAATCAGCTGTAGGAATAGTGCCATCTGAAAATGTTTTGCTTGGGATTAACTTTGCTGGAACTTAGCTAATATATCAGGTGTGAATAATTTAAGAAAGTCTAACGAGTGCATTTGGTTGTGTAGTGAGACTGAAATCACAAAAGTAAAAGGTGTTGGCCAGAATCCCACTGCCTGCAGATGGATAACACTGTGCTTGTGGGGACAGCTCTACAAAAAGCTCAGCAGTGATACAGGGAGAAAAAAAAAGCAGATTTAGGGGTGATGCTGAAAAAGTCATTTGGAGAGATGGGGAGAAAGTGGCCTCTTTTGAGACATGGTGTCTTCTGGCCTCTTGAATCAGCAGCGCCTACACAAGGCTTGGGGCAGCTTCACAGGAGTGCTGCCCTTGTCATCATTCCAATCTGTGGGCATTGTAACTAGTGTGTGTGCCCACACTCTGGGTTGTTTTTTTTTGCAGGATTTCTGCCATACACTCTAGGATTGGTTTGCCCTGAAGAAAAAAATGGTTTTCTTCATTATTCCTTCTTCCATTTCCACGCAGATACTTAGTGTGATATATAGGCTCATATGAAGAAAATGCATTGTTATATCACTAAAGCAATGTGATCTATTCAATATATGGCATGATGTGAGGAAATATGAAATAATTCATCTCTAGGCATGTTTTTAGACATAAAGCTGAGAGTTATCCAAGCTGCTATATAGATTCCAGCTGAAACTGATTGTAACATTGCTTTTGTGAGGGGGAACAGAGATTGGATTGCAAAAATGTACGAACCTTTGGAATGATATTTGAACGTTATTGAACGATAGTCTTATTTCTTAAAAGAGCATTTATAATAAAAGTGTGGGGTAAAAAGATCTTTGGGTGTTTTTTCCCCTTTGTTATGCTATAAAGCTGTGAAGACTGATCAGCTACCATGGTGGCTAATATAAGGGCTCAGTGTTGGCTAGATTTGCAGGTCAAGACTCAAGTTAATATCAAGTGTATGTGAAAGGATGTTGCAGAGAGCTGAGATTTGATGAACCAAGTTAATATTACCACTAAATCTCGTTCAGACCAAAAATTCTGGGTTCCCGTATGTGCGGGTATGATAGAGTACAGTGTAAAGGAGAAGGAAAGCCCACAAGCAGAAGAAAGGTGGTGGAGAATTAGTCCTTGAGCTGCCACCATGGCATTCCTGTATATCCATCCTGCTAAGGACTGCAGATACATTTAGGTTTCCCATGGAGCTCTGAGGTTTGGTGGCCCTGGACTCCAGCTGAGCTGATCTAGGGGGAAAGCACCCAGCAAGGGGGGACATCCCTAGATGTATGACTGCTTCTGCTGCCTTCCACCAAGGTCTCAACATGAGCACACGCAGACCCTGTGGTTATTTCTGTCCTTATAGTTCAGCTGTGAGCAGCTTCTTTCCGATTGTAAAGACTGGCCACATTTTGTAACTCTGCCTGTATTGAAAACACCTATTACCTTAATCATCAATGTTCGTTGGAATAAGGGCCAGAGGTTGAGTGCTGGAATCAGGCTGTCCTGAAATTGACCCTTTGAAAGTGGAGCCACTCTGACTGTTATATCATCCCTATAGGGGTCCTTCAGATTGCTGTTTTAACCTTAATTAATATCTTACTCTAATTTCCAGTTAAAATATGAGGACTTTCATGCCAGTCATTTGGCAGAGTGAAGTGTTGGGTAGAAGTGAGCAATTTTATTCCAGAGCATGTGACAGAGGTTTGATTATGCAGCCAGTCAAGGTGCTCCTTATTATGAAAGTGCTTTTTCCCCTCTGGTCCAGTTACATGAGACTTGTACGGGTGACCTATTTTGAGATCAAACTGAAGGATGCCCTTAGAAAACACTTCCAATGTGAGTTATATGTAGAGTTACAAACTTATAATGACCCAGTTGTGCATCCTCCTTCAAGTCCACTTATCCAGGTCACACCTGTCCCATGGGCAAGGGGAAATCAGGCTGCACTCTCAAAGTCCTTCCCTTCTGTATCCTTCTGTCACTTCCACAGTCTGCTGTCGTGTTTTAAGACCTTGATTTGGGGATTTAGAAAAGGAGCCAGGGAACAGAGCTGGCGGGTAAATTGTGCTTGGTTTACAGCGATGTTAAGGGCAGAGCAATAATGCATCCAGTCCCATTCAGAGTAGTTTTTTCATGCTTCATTCGTTTTTTAGGGAGGAGAATTCCCCGTAGTATCATTTCTCAGCATCAGCTGCCATCTAGTTAGGTCCATGGCCAATATGAAAATCCAACATATCCATGTGTTTCTTCTATATGGAACTGGACATTTGAAACCTACATGGGTCTTTTGGTTTTGTATTGATGGCCGTTACTAGTTAACTTTACAAGTTGTTGTGAATTAACTTGCTCTTTCTTCTCCTCGAAAGGTAAATGGAGATGTTATGTTTTTATCTTTGCAGGCTGTTACCCAACTAGAGCTTTTTGGGGACATGTCCACTCCTCCCGATGTAACCTCTCCCCCAGTAAGTATCCAGGGAAACCGGATGGGGTTTTTTTCTACATCCTATTTTCAGCATGTTTATGGAGCATGTTTACAGTTCAGGTGATTGGCCATTGCAGTAGGGAGGATTTCAAAGTAGTTTTTATGTTCCAAGAAAATAAAAGTGAAGCAAATTGAATGTGGAATCAATGGTTCTTGAAGAAGTGCAAAAATATCTTCAATTTTTATTTATCTGATATAGGGTTTGGTGTCACATAAGATATAATCTGAACTGCAGATCTCCTTCCCTGGTGTTTGTCAGAGCTGCATGCTTCACTGCTCTCTGTCTTGAGCTCCCTGTCTCTCTCCTGTGCTGCAGCAAGACCCAGTTACAGCTGATATATCACAACTCCTTGATTCCACCAAGCACATAGCCCAGAACTGCTATTAAAGGAGGACTAAAGAGTACAGAGAGGGAGGGCTGAATGTGTTTTGAGAGGAATGAAAGCATTCTCGACAGGCTTTTTTGCATCATAAGGTGAAAACACAGTCATTTTCCTATTGCATTTCTGAACCTTATGTTAAGCTGTAGGGGAGTATGAATATACTGAGAAAATGAAAGTCCTCTGGAGTCACCAGGCTCAGATCTCCAAGGTATTCTGGAGGATGTCTGGGACTAGATACTCAAAGTCCTGTCTCCTTGCCCTTAGCTTGCTCAATTAGACTGTGTTTCTCCTTTAATGTGAACCTATGGCTCTGGTCCTGTTGGTTGACTGGCAGCATTGTTATATGTTGCAGATATTTCATTTACCTTTACTGTTTTTCTACATTAATGCCTAAGTCTGTAGCTTATACAGGCTGTCACCTAATGGCTAGAATCACAAGTCTGTATATTGATGTCTGTGTGTGATATAGCCCAGACAAAGCTTGTTTTTATTTTCCTGTGGTACAAATTCTCTCTCATTTCTTTTTCTCCTGTCTCCAGCACATTCTAATACTCTTTATTTCTATTGGTTTTCTCCTTCTACATCTTTCCATTCTTTTTTCTTTCACTTTCTTCCCTCTAAAACTGTGAGCTTCAGAGGTGCAACAGCAAGTATATGCTGCAGCTGATATGTATCATTTCATTTTATTCCTGTCCCCTTGCAGACTCCTGCTACTCCAGGTGATGCCTTTATCCCATCTTCATCCCAGTCACTTCCTGCTAGTACAGACATGTTTGGTTCTGTACCTTTCAGCACTGCTGCCGTACCCTCAGGTAAGAAATCTCCCAAAAATATGGGTTTGGTTCAAATTTGATCACCAGTTCTCAGCTCTGACTCGAATTTCAATCTTCAGGGCATTGATTTTGTCCACTGGAAGTGGGAAGGATTTTGAAGACAGTGCTGCAGGGCAAGGCAAAACGATTCTTTAACAAGCCAAAAATACGTGATTGTGAATTTAGCAACATTATTAAAAGGAAAACCCAAAAATGTCACTGGAAGTTCAACAGCAGTTTAGCCATCTGTATAACATACCTTCTAAGTACAGCTGCAAGAGAGAGAAAAGCAGCTGATTTAGCCCTGGTTTCTTTGCAATTGCAATGAATATCTTGTGCTGTCTTTGGTAAACAGAGAATGAGACATGAAGGATTTGATTTCATTTCAAAAGTGCTCCACTTATGTAAACCCTGGTGTTTCCCATAGACTTTTCTGTGTTCCTCAAAGTGCTCAAAATTCAAAAGCCATGTAACATTCTGCACAGACATGCAAGGAATTGGGTTTTGACTGCTGATCTCTCCCTGGGATACTCAAAGCACTGCAAGACAGCACTCAACTCCATTTAGGAAGAAGGAGGAGTGCCTTGAATCATTCAACAGTGACTTCTAATTGGTTAACTCCTTATTGAATGGGCTGTGTTGCAGTATCAGATTAGCCACCACATCTCAGAAGGGTTATGGAGATGGTGAAGTGTCTGGGGGTAATATCAGGTCACTGCTTAGATGAGGTGACAGTGGGATCGGGATAGAAGGACGCCTAGGGAATCTGTCATAGCCATCCATACACATCTCAGTTACTGTTCCTTCTTTCATCACTCATTAACTTGGAATCACAAAGTTGGGGTTTTTTTGCCTTGCAAGGTCCACTTAAAATCAGCCACTGATTGAAACTTTACTTAGTTTTTGGTTGTGGCACATGACTGAGGTCCATGCAGATGTCTTCACAGACACATGTGAATGGTCACTAAGGAAGAGAAGAGCATTTTGTTCAGAAAAGGAGAAGGATTATGGCCAATATACTTCAACCTGTGTTTTTGTATAGAAGTGCTTGTAATGTGAATTCAAACATGCATTTCCATTTTCTTTTCAAGGAAAAGCTGGAGCTCTGGGATCTCTAATGTAGCTCGCATATTTCTGATTTATTGTGTGGCCTTTTCTGCATGTTCCTGACATTATTGGAATTCTTATTTTTCTGCTTTCTTTATTCTTTGAAGGTTATGTTGCCATGGGAGCTGTTTTGCCCTCATTCTGGGGACAGCAACCACTTGTTCAACAGCAGTTGGCCATGGGTGCTCAGCCTCCAGTTGCTCAGGTGATGCAGGGAGGACAGCCAATAGCGTGGGGCCAACCCGGTATTTTTCCTCCTGCCCAGCAGCCCTGGCCATCTGTAGCTGGTCAGTTCCAACCAACTGCCTTCATGCCAACACAAACTGTTTTGCCTTTACAAGCAGCCATGTTTCAAGGTACCATTGCTCCTATAGCTACTGTTCCGCCCACAAGCGATTCCAACAGATCAAGTCCGCAGACAGACAGGCCCAGACAGAAAATGGGAAAAGAAATGTTTAAAGATTTCCAGATGGCTCAGCCTCCACCAGTGCCATCAAGAAAACCAGATCAGCCTTCCCTCAGTTGTACCTCAGAGGCCTTCTCAAGTTACTTTAACAAAGTTGGGATGGCACAGGAAGCAGATGATTGTGATGACTTTGACATCTCTCAGTTAAATTTGACTCCTGTGACTTCCACGACACCATCAACAAATTCACGTGAGTGTTCGTATCATTTATGCCATAACTTTCCTCAAATGTGACTGCTCCTCGAAGCATTTAACTTTTCATATAGTAAATTGCAACACAGATGTGGACCGAGAACCTTCATGCATGGGCTGGCTTATTAAATGCGTTCCAGCCATAAAGAAAAGTGTTACAGAGACCATTGAAATCAACAGCCCCAGTAGCTGCAGCCTGAAATTTAATTGCTAATAAGACAGTAATATATGCTTTGTGCTAGGGACGTGCCAGCTGGTTGGAAAAGGCGGGTAACATTCAACTTATAAATGATTTTTCTTCATCCCATTCAAGGCATACTTTGCACAGAGTAGGAGATGGGTATTTATTCTAATTGCTTGATGTGTTGGACATGTGGGGAAATTCATTGAGCAGCTGTAAAATGAGCTTAGCATGGCCATAGCATGGAGATGGGGGATTTTGCAGATTGCTGAAAAGGAATTCAGGAGGCATTTACCAGCGGCCAGTCAGAGACCCTGTGTTTTGCTTATCTGCCTTAGGGCAGGCGACTCACACATTCCTAATGTGATGTAGCAGTGTCTCCTTGGTTCCTAAAGACATGAGCCAGATGCAGCCAAACTTAATTTGGAAGCCACTGAATGAAATCAGACCTGCAGAATCGATAATGACTTCTCTGTTTAAATTTACATCTTCCAGCTCTTTGCTGAAAATGGTTTTCAGGGGTAATGTAAAGTAATGTAAGTTGAGGGCTCTAGAGCATGAGCAAATTTTGTGCTGCTGTGTCTCTGTGAACAAATGAAGAGATAAATATTCTATTGCTATCACCTTAATCTTTGTTTAGCTCCAACCCCTGCACCCAGACAGAGTTCTCCATCGAAATCATCAGCTTCTCATACCAGCGATCCTGCTGCAGATGACCTCTTTGAAGAGGGGTTTGAAAGCCCAAGCAAAAGTGAGGAGCAGGAGGCTGTGAGTAGCAATAAGGCTTCTAAATACTGATGAGCCCTTTTTAGCTAAAAAAATGCTGTTTGGTAGTATCAGAGATCACTGTTCAAGTAGGACTGGGTGGTATTTAAGGGGGAGCTGCATTTGCAGATTTGATTTTATAGCTGGGAACATCAGCATGGCATTTCTGTTGATGTCCTAATACTGCATGCAAGGAACCAAACTCAGAGTTCATATCTGAACTCTACACATTAACTATATCCAGTGTACCAACATTCACATACTGATGGTAAGGGAGTCCAAGGTAAAATGACATGAGTGCAGAGGATGCAGAAAGAAATGCGAGAGGCTGTGTGTTAAAAAATGATGGTTGATGTTGTCTTCCACATTCTGGCATCCCAGTTGCTTCCCTCGTTGCATTCCTCAATGTTCTGGCCCTTGGTATTTCTTTGCCTTAGACTCAGTGGACCAAAGCAAGAAATATTATCAAAATGAAGCGACTTTGAATCACAAGGTATCTTAGGCAGATAAGAGCCTAAGTGAGCCAAAGGCAAGATGGAGTCTATACAAAAAAAGGACCCAAATGTACAAAATGATAGATATGGTCCTTTCCTGCCTTCATCAGCTGTAGAAAAGCATTATGGCTTTTGAGAACATATCAGTGGTGAGGTCTCACTTTCTGGTTTTCATGAGATAGGATGTACTTGTTATGCCCACAGCATGAAAATAACCTCATGTTGACTTTTCACTTTCTATTGTTGAGAAAAAAAGGTGTTATGTTCTTGTATTCTAGCCTGATGAGTCTCAGGCCTCATCCAACAGTGATCCATTTGGTGAGCCAACTGGCGATACTATAAGTCCACAGGTCGGTAGCTAGATAGCGCAGGTTGGGGTAGGTATCTGTCCTTTTTTTCTCTACACCCTGAGGTGCTCACTTATGCTTCCACCAGTGCCTACCATTGCTTTCATGGATGCATGGTTTGCTTTTTCCTTTTCATCTCTTCCTTCTTTTCCTCTCCATTATCCACAGCGTATTCCTCATGCTCGGTGGTTTGCATGGCTTTTGCCATTCACTATGTGTTGCAACTTATGCGAATGTGTGTGTTTCAGCTGCCTGCATGCTTTAAAGAAATGTAGACTTATTTTACTTTGTGTTCGAATTCAAAGGGGGAATAGGGAATCTGAGCCACTACCAATAATGTATTATGCAGAACAGTTTTTTATTAAACCCGTTCTGGCCTTTAATCAGTCGTAATGTATCAAATGGGATAAGACATCTCTCCCATAGACATAACAAACATTAAATAAAATTATGTAATGATACAGGAATACCTCCACTCAAAATCAGTGTGATAATCAGTAGAAGCAGCACATGTATTATCTGCACGTAAAAATTATTGAAATGGGTTTGTGTACTTTTACCTCCAGTTGCAAATGAAAAGCATCTGAAAGTTATGATCGCTGATATTAGCATTGGCCAACCAATGTTTTCAAAATTATTCTTCAAAAATTATTCACTGAAACCTAGACAGAGGGGAAAGATGGTCTTTTTCATCTTCTGTGTTACAGAACACATTGGAAAATGTGGCTGCTGGTGGATGTTCTGTGATTTGTTTCAATACAATATATATGTTCTACCAAAGAGACAGTAAAACTGCAAAGTGTTATGAGTGCTGAGCATTGTTATTCCATCCAAATACTCTCCAGTGTTACTATTTGAAGGATATGTTTCATTATCTTCTCCCTGTCTGCCATTTGTGTTTTGTATTACCCAAATATGTGACCTGATACTGCTTCTGTGCTTCAGCACAGAGCTCCTGGAACAAATCCATAACAGTGGTAGAACCCTTTTTATTTTTCTACAGAAATCACTCTGTGTTTACCAGTGACTTATCTGCCCTGAGCCTGCATAATCGGTTTCAACTCAAACTTAATAGTTTCATTAGGAGTCACTTTGTACACTTAAATGTGGTTAAGAAAAAATGTCTTACAGTAACTTAGCTTTGATCCACTTGGGAGTAATAAGATTATCTCTTAATAATATGTAGTGCTGAGAGGAGGCATCTCCCCCTTCTTCTGCTTCACCAACACAAGCTCAGCAACTGGGGGCTGAAGCAAAAGCAGTGTTAAGCCTTGTGCTTCCACGAGTCTAAAAATGACAGTGTAAAGATAGAGTCAAGCTGGGCTGGCTGCTTGGCAAGAACATCCGTTGGTTATTGTACACCAACATGAGCTGCTTGTGCAGATTGATGGTGCCACATAGCACCATTTGCCTTTGTCTGACTCCACCAGCCCTGGTGCAGCCAGCTGTCCCAGCCTCAGCCCATTTCAGGGCTTCTTTCCTAGATCAAGAAAGAGGATTTGACTTTTAGCTGAATCCCACACTCCGCAGACCTACGTGCTTTTGTTTATTATGGTTCATCATCGTCAGAATCACTCAGGAATTCATCACAAGGAGAATAGTGATAAAATCTCTTTCTAATTTTCTGCTGCTAAGATAATTAGCATCATTTGTGAGCTAACCACACTCATTTACCTATCAGCAATTCTGGAAGTAGCTGGAAGCAGTAGCTGAAGGCTGTCACTGCATAGTGCTGTGTAAGGCAGTCAAATGAGGGACCCCTTTTGTTCTCTATGTATGTAACACTGAAATACTTTATCTTACCTGGAAAGTAAAATTTTGTATGTTGTCAGTCATTCCGTATTCTTTCTATAGTTGCTGTTAGTCCTTGTACAATCTGGCATAAAATTAGATATAATTATCCAAAATATATTCCAGGAATTGTTAGGTAATGCTAGTAATCATCGTATTACAGTAACTCCTAAAAGCTGTAGGCAGGAACAGGAAGCTGAAGAAGACTGGATCTCTCCAGTGAAGTTACACTGGCATCATTGTACCTCAGTACTGTGCCATCCAGCAGCAGGCTGTAGGAAATCCACTTGCTGAAACCAACCCATCTAGTTCTGAAGCCTGCTATCATCACAGTGATGGAAAATCTAATCTCCATGGAGAATTATCAGCTCAGGACTTATTACTGCATTGTGTACTGAGCCCCTCATTTGGGGAGAAACATAATGGAGAGAAATATGTAGTACAAAAGAATCACAATCTGCCTAAAAGCCACTTCTGCATGCTAGATGGAGCTTACTTCCCTCTGTCAGAACATGGTTCTTCACACCAAGAACAGCATACAGCTCAGATGAGTGGACTCTCAGCAGCAAGACATAGCACTGTGTTCAGAAATTTCAAATAGACTTCCTGGCGTTTCTGTGAAATCAGCTGTGCCCATGCAGTATCTTCACTCACTTCGTCTTGATGTATTCAGAGTACTTGCATGCCTAGTACTTTGTGCCCTGTGCTGTCAGTATACCTTAGCAATTTGATTTCTTGGTTCCTTCTGATGCCCCATGTTCTCATTTAGATGCAGTTCAGCATCTTCCAATAACTATCTTCGTTTCTCTGTATTTCACTTCTTCCTTCTGTGATCTTAACACTCTCAAAATCCTCATCCTACCAGCAGGCATTCTTACAGACAGCTCTGCTACAAATGGCCAAGGGTTCTTTGTAGGTAAATGTGACATTTTATGGATCAGTTACGTATTTGTCCCTTTATGTTTAGAGATAAGGAGCAGCCAGGCCTGATTTTCAGTACATCAACTATTTGCAGAACTGTTCATAGCAAGATTTGTATCTAGTTGTCTTCCCTTTGTACAGGAGTAGTGTGAAGGATGAGTAGAGTGAACAGTAAGACTGCCATCTTCAGCTGATGTACACTTAATCCCTGCTGCTGTCTTTAGACTGGGTAGTGGATAACTGTGGTTAAAAGAGAGTCGAAAGTGTCAGTATGCCCTGAATACTGGGACCTGTTGTCAGAAATGCTGCCTCACTCCTTATGGACAAACTGATTCCTGAAGGCAAATTAGCAGCAGAGTGAAAGTTCTGAAAGGGAATAAAGGGGTATTTGGTAATGAAATTAACCCAATAAAAGTACCTCCAAATGCTGGAATAAATGTAGTTTATGCTATATGCTTCCCAGTCCAACACTTGCTCTGGCAGTCATTCACGAGAGATTCTCAGGAAACCTTCAAAACATTTGTGGCTAGAACATATCTTCCTCAAAAGCTTGTTTGGTTGTTCTTTGAAATGTGTGCAGACAGTTGTAAGCCCTCAAAGTATGTCGCACCCTTCATGATGCTATCAGCACTGTCAGGAGAGCAACAGTGCATTTGAATATTTGTCTATCAGCTTTTGGTGGGACTTGGGTGGCCCGCTGCCATCTCCCATCTCGGACCATGTGTCGTTCTTTGTGATGAATGTTCCTAATAATTTCAGTCAGCTCCAGAATAGACTGCCGAAAGTCTTTATCTAGGCTGTGACCATGCAGTTGGCAGAGATATAACAACTCAAGGACAAAATACTGGCTTCATCTGAGAATTCAGACAACCTCAGGAGGTCGTACAAAGCTGCTTCTGCAACCTGCTACTACTTTCTGCCCCCTTTCTGTTGCACTAGGAATCTAGGTGTGCTCAGACATCACAGGCTGTATTTGTAGGATCTGTTGCCATCATTCATCTGTCTCAGTAGGAACTGAATGGAATTCAGAGAGAAATTCATGATGACTTTAAGTGACCTATTCTCGCCGTAGGCTCTAGAGCTGTTATTCTGCAAGAAGATACAGCAGCAAGCAGAATTAGGAACCTTAGAGAGAAGTTAAAAGGTTGTGCACTTGGAATGGATCACAGTTTCTGAAACTATCATTTCAGGCCCTGTTTTTGTGCTTATTTATTCATCATCACATTCCCAGGGAACATGGATATGATGAGAAACAGAGAAATCCAGACTAAGGAGCAGAGGCATCCTACAAATGTGCCTTCCTCTCACTCCTATGATTCTCTCCTCCTGTCTATTTTAGTATAGACCAGTTCTTGCACTGGTTTCTCAGCTCTTCCAGTGTCTCCAAGCCCACCTGAAGTAGCCTAGTACCTTCCATTTCTCCACTTTCTTCCTCTGAACAAGAGACAATGTACTAGGTGGCCTGTGTGCTTGTTTATTGACAATACAGCAATTCAGTTAGGGAACAAGTTCTATGAGCTTTCTGTGTAATGAGGTCATTAAAAGATCCCCATATTCTGCACAGCAACTGGTGTTCAGGACACTTGTGGTAATTTAGTGTCTTTGAGACTTCACTACAGTTTGCTTCAGATTGGCTATTGGATTCAGAAATCATTAAGGAGAATTGACAGAAAAATAGATGGGAAGTGTAATTCAATGGCTCTTGTTTTCTTAGGAAGGGAACCCCAAAATGATAGGAGTGTTTCTATAACTACAGTTCATTATTTTTCCATAACCAGAATTTAGCAGAGTTCATCTCTCGTTAGTAGTTCTCAACTGTTGTTTTGTCGTTTGTTTTTTTTTTTTCTTTCCAGTTTGTGAATGCATGGCATCCTTCTTGATGCTGGAATTACAGACTTTTAAACTGCTAGATACTTGAGACTAAGAGATATTCCTGGGCAGGTTTGTAGTAAGAACACAGACACCTTTCAGCCACAATCCCTAACTGGCAGATTGCTATATTTCTGTGGCAAATAGAGGCTAATTATATTAAAAATAGGCAGAATTGAGCCATGGGCTGTTAATGGGTGAGTAGAAATTACTGGTCTTACCACCAAAAGATATTTAAATATTGCTTGCCGAATGTACTATGTCCTACTTCATTAAATCAGCATGCAATTGAGAAGATGTATTGCACTCCTGCTTCCCTTCACTTGCATCCCCAGCACAAGATTCTCGTTTTGGCTGGCGTTCCAGCACTCTTATTTCATGAAACTGAATCATTTGAGCCTGCCCTTTCTGATCAGTCAGCCAGGAGTAAAACCAGTGCTGAGAATCTATTGCAAAGGGCAAAGAAATCTCTGCAGGCCTCACCTCTACAATTCAGTACAACTTGCCTGGAGCTTTGCACATAGCAGGGTGCCTTGCAATGATGAAAGGACTACCCGTGTAAAAAGAACAGCTTCCTAACCAAGTCCTGTGTTACATTTTGTGAGCCAGCTCACCGACACAAGCCCAAATAGATATTGAATCTGTTGGAGATTTCTCCCATGTCTGCTGAGGGCCAGATGTTAATACCTTTAGATTGGATGCAACTTCACTTGTAGTGACTACATAATGTTATTCAAAACGCTAGGAACCTCATTGTCTCATGCAGTAGTGTAGGTACAAATCCCTACTGCTTTCCACAGTGTTGTTTGTTGTGCAAAATGTTCCTTAAAATTGGAACAACTAACAGATTTTAAACATGATGTATCTCTGGAATATGTAAATGTATCGTACGAAAGGAAAAGTCTTCCCCTCAACAGTTTCTGCAGTGAGATTCAAGAGAGTTCTTAACTCAGCATTGCACAACATGCTTCTAGATACCTAGATATTTGGGTGTTTTAACTTGAGGCAATGTACACTTGGACTTCCCCTGTCCAACACGCCAATTCAGTCAGGTATCTGATCTGCGATTTCATATCCTGATTCTTCAGTATCTCCTAATTTGAATGCTACTCTTCAGCACAGGAGCCATGTCAGTATGTGAGGGTGTAGGTGAATGCTACTCTGAAAGGAGCCTCCAAACACAAAGGAAAACATTTGCTTTTTAAGCATCTACCAGAAACTGCATAACCCAAAGTTGATGGAACCCTTCAAGTGTAATTTAACAGCAAAACCAGATGCTGCCATTTGTCTTCTTATTTCATCCCTGCAGGCTGATGAATGCACATTAGGAGTGCTTTGGGGCCAATCATATAGAATTGAAAACACTCAATTGGAAGCCTTATATGCCATCTTATCTAATCTTTCTTTTTTCTTTTTTCTTTTTTCTTTTTTTTTTTTCTCTGAAAAAGACCCGTTTTTTTGGTTTGCTGGTTTGCTTTCCTTTGGATCTGTTCCTAACATAGTAATAGAAGTAGAAAACAGAAGATATCAGTGAAACATCTCTGCTAACACTTTAGTTCTCCTGCCTTTTAGTTACATTTCCTGTGGCTTTTCTGTGGAGGGCATAAAAAGAAGGCGAGTTGGTATTTCTGCTTCTAAAACCTTCCCAAACAATCCTTGTGAAAGCCCACCTACCTGTCACTGGAGGAAGCTGTTTGGGGAGTCAACAGGTCTCAACTCTCCTGTTTCTCCTCTAGCTTTTACTGCTCTTTTTGCTCTATGGAGGATCACTATCAGTTCTTCAGAGATGCCATTTGCAGTGTTGAGCTGCAGTCAAGATGCACTGATGAATTATCTCAGAATAATATTAGAAAACAATTCTCATACACTAAGAAGAAAAATCAGGCATCTAAATGGGAAAATGACCTAAAAAAATACACGAGCATGATTTTCACTCAAAATACACAAAAAATAATAATATAAAAATTACATCATTGTGAGAATCATTGAAAATCATAGAGAAATGAAAGCTGTTGCCACCTGAAGTGTATGTTCAGATAAATATTGGGCATGAACAAAAGGTGGGGGCATGTAATTCGAGTCTCTATCGTGGACTGTTGAAAGTGACAATAGCCAACAATGAACTCCTCTTCCAATGATGCCAGGTGGCCCTTGGGTGACCTGTTCTTTCCATGTATCTGTGTACCTTACAGACATTAGAGGACACTCCTAGCAAACACATCTGATGTTTCGAAAGGCCTTTATTTTCCCTAACAACTCAAAAAAACAACATCCTTTGTTCCCCTTTTCTTCTCTTTCCTTGTTGCTTTCCTTTGCAGTCTTCTCAGGTTGAGCACATGCCTGAAGAGTGGCCTGGTGTATGTCAGCTTTCCACATTAATTAGTACAGATTTTCTCAGAACTGGCAGTGATAGATCATTCTGCCAGCTTCGTGTCTGCAGTACATGAAAATTGGCATAGGTGGGTTCAGCACACAGGATGTGAGATGCAGTTATTTACTCTCACTCATCTCTTCTGATTACCTTTGGATTTTCAAGGTCATCGGATGTATTTGCCTCTTGCTGTGGATAATTTCAGCAGCCTTTATTTAATCATTCAGAGAGATTTTACTCATTCTCTCTTAATGTTCATAGTGTGCTCAGGGCTTCTTGTTAGGTAAGAAATAGGGAAGAAGTGTCTCTGCAGGCTGCAGAAATGGAGCATCTTCAACAGCAGCGATTACCAATCAGTGCCACCTCCTGCCAGATGTTTCTGTGATCTGCAGTGCCCAGTGCTTTGCCAGCCTTCAAAGGGTTTTGCCTAAAGTCAGCTTTTCTGGTACTGCTGTACATGAGTTGATTTGAACTTGGTTAAATTCAACTCTGGCATGGTATTTGAATATTTATCAAGCTGTGGAGAGTTAATGCAGTATGGCATTAATTAGCCTTTTTGCCTGTCTTGTTCTTTTCTTAGATGTCATTCTTAGTTTAATAAATTAGCTTTTGGAAATGAAGGAGAGTGAATTGCAGGCCCCGTTTGGCTGGTTTGCCTCACTCTGCAGCCAGGATGAACCTAGCATTGCGAAAGCAGCAGGTGTCAGCTATGAAGTCGCACTGAAAATACAGCTGCTTTCCTCAACATCTAGGAAATTCCTAAGAAAAACCACCATTCTTTCCTCCCTGCTTTAACAGCTGTACTAACAGCTACGCAGATCCCTAATCAAGCTGTTCAGAGCCAGCTTTTCTCTTTCTTCCTAGGAGGCACACACCACACACACCACATCGCTCTGAAAATCCTGCTATTTTCAATCCCGTCGCAGCTTCGTTAGCTCAGCTTTCAGCAGCAGTTTCTGCTTGCAGTTGTCTTCCTACCTGAGCTGTGTGAAATCCATGGCTGAGTAGCGTTGCTGTGCTGTTGGGTGGGATGCTCAGCCCGACGTAACAGCCTTTTGTGCCAGCTGCATTTCTGGCCCATAAACTTCAAAACACCCAGTTGTACAAAAATCATTTCATTTCTCCATGTGTCTATGCCCAGCAATACCTCCTGAGGATCGGTGCACAGCCAATATGGAAGAGGAAATTGATTGTAAGCATGCCTTTCCCGAAACAATGTCATATTTCCTTCACAACCCAACCGGGGTGCCGCGATCGCTCAAAGCAGCACAGAAAACAAACACTTCCTTTGGGTTTTGACTCACGAGGTATTGCTGTCCTCAAGCAGATGTTGTGAAAATGTTCTCAAAATGTCTGGAGACATTTCCGCTTACTTTATTTTTATCATCCCCAGGAAGCAGAACCTCTCTACGCCCAGATCAACAGACCTAAGAAATAGCATTGGTACGGGCTTGCGGTGCTCCGAGACTCGAATGAAACCCAACCACCTGGCAGGCCTTTGGCTCTCTTGCTTTTTTCTGATTGATTTTGTCTGGCAAGGATAAATGATTGCCCTCCTGGACCGGCTCTATGAGCGTTCCTGACAATTTTTGGCAACCGATGGCAGATCCCTATGGCAGCACAAAGTGACAGCTCCCTGCTTAGCGCACCAGGAGTCCGGCCCTGTCTCCACAACTCATGGGTATCCAGACTAGGAAATCTCACTCCTCGCTCTTCTTTTCAACATTTCTTGTCTTGTGTATGCCACATATAAATAATGAGCATTCCTTTTCTTTTGAGCAAAAAAAGCAGAATCTGTATGTAGCAGTGGCATTATCATTCAACAGCCTTTTGGGCACAAGTCGGCACTTTTTATGTCACGGTGACATGTTTTTCATCATCATTTACATCAGGCTGATCCTGAGTTGGTTTTTTTTTCCTTGTGTAGGCATATTTAAACAGCAACAACAGAAAAACACTGGCAGTGTCATTTTTTTTCTATTTCTTATTCTGTAGTTTTGTATGAGTGACAGATCCAAGAGCAAAACGCCTCCCGCGGAAATGATTCTTAACTTGAAACCACAGAATAAAACTCTGTTGTTTATCCATCCGGACTGAAAATGTTGCCAAATGTACCTTTACGTTCTAGCGCATCATGAGGAAGAAATGCTGCTTTTCTGTTTGAATACTCATGTTGTGGGTAGAGAAAGGACATGGAATCCCACTGATGGAAGAGACGGAAGATTCAGTATTTCCTAGGAAACTCTAAACAAAGTACAGAAAAGGAATATTTTTATTTCTTCGATATCTTGCTGCTGTAATGCTATGCAGACAAGTGTTTTCTTCTCTGTGTGCCATTTTTGATGAAAAAAAAAAAAATCATTTGCCAAATAATACTGGTGTGATTCTGGTTTAGGAAGTTGGATGAAACGGACTTTAAAAATGGGACAAAGGTGGCATGGATTTTGGAATAACGAACTGATTCTGTGATCAAATTGTTCATCTTTATCACTTTTTGTACATCAGAAAAAAATCAAATGGGATTTTTATTTTATAACTTGAAAAAAAAAATCTTACTGTTAAACTCTTTAATTGTTTAAGGGGAAATGGCTTTAAGGAGTTTGAATGAAAATTGCCAGTTTTCTTTTTGGTTTTTTTTTGTCCTTTTTTTTTTTTTTTAATGTAAATATAAATGTTATGAGAATTCTTTTACTAATGCCATTACACAGTAGAGAAGGTAGCAAGTTGCAGTGCTTGGGAGGTGTGGCAAACCCAGTTTGTGGTTCTCACATCACATACGTTTTCTCACGTGCTTACGATAATGGACTGAAGCTCAAGTGCATTTGCAGAAGGCAGTCAGCTTGTCAGCAACTAGTGAAATTAATGAGAACACATGATTTTATGGTGTAGCTTCTTCACACAGGCAACTCCACTTACGAGAAATCACATTTTCATTGGCATCCCCTTACGATTCCAGAACCTCTGCATAGAAGTCATCGAGCTGTTTACACACAGAATGAAAGAGTTTAAAACTTCCGTTTTTTTACATTTATGAAGCAGAAGTGCAGTGTTTGGGTTCATATGTTTAGCACATGATTTTCATAAAGAATCTATATATTTTTGCCCTACAGAGAATTGTTATACAGGTCAAATGTGTTTTCCTGATGTTCCTATGCAGTTACAGTATATTGAATTTAGTGGTTTAACACTAAGAAGGAAAAAAAAAAGAAAAAAAAGAAAAAAAAAAAAAAGAAGAAAAAACAGAAAAAACAGAAAAAAAAGAAAAAGTAAAAAAGGTTAAAGAAATTAAATGATGAATCTGTTTTTAGGATTATTGTGCAGATTTTGTTTTTAAATTGACACATTAGGATTTGCATTTTTGTCATGTTTAAAATAGGCCTGGAGTTATAAATATTTTACTTTCCTTCATCTCTATGATAAGCTAAAAAATGGTTTAGAAGGCTGAATAATACCTGGGGTGGCAATTGTTGATATGTACAACGAAATCTCACACCATGATTCCAATCTTTTATTTTGAATTAGAGAAATTAGAGCAAAGTGCGTTGCAGAATGTATGTGAATGAAAAAATTAGCTGTGAATAGACCCACTGAACCTGCAGAGAAGAGGACTTTTATTCCCATTCACAGTCGTTTGATGCTTATCCCTTAGACATGTGCAAACAGTTCTGTAGCGAATCTTATTTTCCCATGAGAAGGAAGGTTGATTTTCTAATTGGAGATGAACTAAAACCTGGTGGGTTGAGTGTTTCAGGATTAAAAGCAGAGGTAAAAACGTTTCTGAAGGACATTTGAAGCCTATTTTCCTAATTTGCACTGTGGTGCTACTTACTTCCTCAGCAGCTCTTTTTGGTTTTGTCCTCCATACGGAACCGAGAAGACAATTTTGATGCATCGTAGGCATTTGAGGCTCTGTCTAGTTAATGCATTTCCAGTTATGGGGTAAAATGTTGAAAGAAAAAGAAGAGATTTACGCCTCAGAGGATCCATTGACATCGTATTGGTAGGAAGCGGATCATTTCTGTAGTTCTTGCAACAAATAGGTGCAGAGGGAACAAGGCTGGGATTGTAGCGTTTCATGGGAGACAGCTGGGCCATCCCCATGGGCTACTGTCATACCCTTACCAACACTGATAAATAAATTCTGACTTGTTGTGTCATGCAGTTAGATCGTCTTTGTCACGATTGAGATGTTGAGTTGAGAGGAATGTGCGGCCTCTGCACTGTACCAGTCTTGTAGATAACTTGAATATCCAGCTTGTGCAATTGTTGAATCCCTCGTCCTTCACTAGCACTAAATTTGTCACTTTAAATTAAAAAACCAGGGAATTCCACCAGCCATCCTGTTGTCATCCCCCGTAGATTCTTGATCTTTACCTGTCCTGAAGAGATAGATCGTAGTCATTCAAGTGTCTGACAAAACCTTTCATCTAATAACGTACTGGGCACCTTCTTTGCAAAAAATGTTTACTCTGTGGTTTTCATTCATTTTTATTTCTGCATTCTGACACATATTTTTTTAATAAAGATGAGAAAGATAAAATGACTGTTGCAGTACATTTCTAAACCTACTTTAACTTTACCTCAGATAATGACCATTTGTTAACATATACGGACACATTATTTTTAACTTTATGTATAATGCATTCAGCAACAACAACAAAAAAACAACAAATTTTTAGAAATTTTCCATTAATTTCTGTAACACACCATGTAATACTGTTATGAATAAAAACATTTTAAAAAGGTGTCATTTCAGCAAGTTTGTTTCATAGCTTTTGCTGTTCTTTGAAAATCCTGCCATTTGTACAGCACAGCGTGGATATCTGTCCTAGCCAATGGTTTTGATGGCTATGAATATCTTGGACAGGAGGAAAAGAAGCGCCTCACTTTGGGTAATATCTAATCTCAAACAGCCCAGGTGTTGCTTTTCTTGCAGAGGTGAGGAATAATAACATTTTTGCTAAGTAAGGTAAATATGAAAGATTTGCCCTGAAATTTCAGTGTGCAACATGACTGTATGCACAAAGAGGGAGAACTGTAAGTATGCACATGTATTTTATTGTATTTCTTCTCCTTTCTGCCCCATCCCTTTTCCATCTGCCCCAGTTGTCCAACAGGTCATGCTGCTGCATTCATTAAGGGCTAATGCAACCTAAGCAGAGTTGGAGTTTGTTGATTGTATGTAAAAATACCCAACTCAAATGTAACTAGTTGAGGAAATAATCCCAATTTACCTAAAGATAACGAAGGCCATGATCTCCTGCTGTGATGAGAACATGTTTAGCAGTCAATTTTCAGGATCAGCCTGCAGTTTTGCAGAAGCAAGGACTCAAACAGATCTCTTTTTCCCATGTCAGCATCTTCTGGGAAAGCAGTTGTGTAGGCTGGGAGCACACAACCACAACTGGTGTACACTGGATTGAAGGTGATGTTTCTTCCTTCTTTTTCCTATTTCCTTCTTTGTTTATTTTATTTCTAAAGAACTCCTGTCCTGTCAGGTTCATATTTATTAGTTTATGGGCAAATATTGTCCTCAGTCAGAAGAATATCATTTCAAAGCAGTGATAGGAGGTGAAGGGAATGACTGTTGTCATTTGTGCAGCAGAGATTCGGATTTGTTGTCTGCAGTTGTCTCTCTAAGCCGACATGGGGAAACATACAGTGGTAAATGAACGAAGTGGAATTCCATATAACTACTAAAAAGTGCATTTTTGGATTGAATGTGTGAGTCTGAGCCATCTATTCTGCTTGAGCATCTGTACTGTGTTACTAATACTATCTGTATGTTGCATGCCATGCTTGTGGCTTCATATTCTTCTCCGACTTTTACTCTGTTCCTGGCTGTGCTCTCATGGTACTATGACAAATATCATCATCTGTAAGTTATTTTGTGAACTATCTTGGGATAAGATCTTCCACAAGCTGGTCTTCTCAGCCATACTTACAATTTAGGATCAGGCCCAGCAAGAGCCTTCTTTGAATGCCAAAGATAAAGCAGAGAGCTGGCTTGGGGAACCAAAAAAAGTGATTATTTTTTTTCCTTTCTTCACTTACTGTATCGAAGTGTGTGGAAACCAAATTATACATTCCAGCATGACGTTGAGGAATATGGGGAGATATCCTGATACGATTTCCTGATTACTGTAATGTTGGCTGTCTCTTTCTAAAATGATCCTACAAGAGGCAGGAAATAGCGGGTCTATTAGTGAAACAATTGTCCAGCTATTACTTTTTAGAGCTTTAAATAGTCTTATCTCAATGCACCTGTTTGCCATGTGGCTAATCTATCACCCCTAAAATGTTCTATCAGCACCTGAAAAATCTCTGCAAGAAGAATAGCTTCAAATGTTACCCAATCAAGTGGCTTTCAATATAGAGTGTGGGTTTTTTTAAAGGTCTTTTTAAGACCTGATGCAATTTGCCAGCTTTTCAGTCCCATTTCATAGCTCCCGCAGCACCACTTATATGAATAGTTCTAAGCAGAATAGAATGGATATCACAGTAGATTAAAAGAAAAACATGTTAACAGGCAGCAAATCAATGTCCATTCAGCCCCAGACATTTGTGAAAATAAAGGGTTATGAAGAATTATCGCCAGGTACCAGCAGAGTAAAGCTTCTGTGGAATCACTGTGTTTCTTAACAGCAGTTGGTTGATGGGGGCATGAGAAGGGCTCTATGTCAAAGCATGCCATAATAGAAATAAGCAGGTATTGTAAGCTGCTGCAATTTATTGTGAATTTTCTATTATTTGGTATATTTAGATTATGAGTTGAATTTTTTCTTCAAAAAAACCTGCTGAGTTTCTAGTTTGAAATTGAGTTTGGATGTGCATTGTCTTGAAATCTGATGGAGATGGACTGGAGACAAGGGATGTGGGCATGATGGTTTTTCTTCCATGGCCTACTTGATGCTGTATCCACTGCCTTGAAGTCTTCACAAGACCCTAGAATTGGGGCTTTTGGTGTAGATGTACCTGTAACTAGTTCAGACTGAGTCACTGTTTTTAGTCAATCAAAAGGCAGTAAAGGACAATAAACTCAACAAGGTGATTTGTTTGTATCCAGGGTTTCTTGGATTCCAGTTTCACGGCCAGAAAATGGCTGTGCTAGTAACAAAAATGGCAATGCAACAAAGCCAGTTGTAAGTGAACGCCGTAAATGTCCCTTTGGCTCTGTTATTTGTGAACTTTGTCATGCATTTGCCACCTTATGCTCCTCCCCATTAAAATCAATGGGAGAGCCCCTCTGGAATGAGCCAGCTGTGTTCTTCTGCAGGAGGAAATATATTGTGAGTTATGAAGCAGGGAGCAAAAAGATTTTCTTGGAGAAGGAGAAATAGAAGCTCTTTTTGACCACTAACTGCAGCATAAACAGCTTCTTGCTCCCATCTGACCTTTCCCACGGAGGGCCTTTCATCACCGATATGTTTCAGAGCTTTTCTTTGGGCAGAAAGCTGCCATTTAAAAAGAATTGCCCTTGGTGAAACTGTATGGGTTTTATTTACAGGAGCAAGGGGTTACAAACTTAACGCTGGTGTTATGAACCCTGCAAAGGATACATTGCACTTGAGAGCTCAGTGTTCATGATGGACACTTTGCGAGTCTTCGTTTTCAGATGTGATAAAACCCATGTTCAGTGACTTAGAGCTCCATGAGGGCTAATGCTTTGAGATTTAAAAAACAGCTCAGCAGGCAGCCTGGCTATTACAGCCAGCAGTGAGGAAGGAACTGAATTGTGGAGAGAGGATGTGGGCAGTGTTAGAAGGTGACACTGCCCCACAGGTCAATGGAGGTGGGAAACCAGCGCTGGTTGTCCTCTTGGAATTTGGGAAGTCTGCTTGTGCCACTCAATTTTCATTGAGAAAAAAATATGTTAACATGCAGGAAATTCCTCCTTGGTCCCTGCTGTGATTTTAACCTAATGTTTTTCTGCTAATTGAGGAACAGAGATGAGCAGCATGGAGGCAAGCAGAAGTAATCTCCATGCACTGCGAGACATGGTTCACAGTAAAATCGAGGGTGTGCTCTGTGTGTATGATCACAGCTTCTCTTTTGCTGCTGTAGATATTGGATATCTACAAATATCTACAGATACAAATATCTGCAAATATTGGATGTGCACTGAGCTAGCAAAGTCCTATGGATGGGGAGGTCTTTCCTGTAAGTGATGGTGAGGGGTTTTTTTTGTTGCTTGTAAATAATTAACAGGTAAGTCAATTGTGTCAAAGGTTAAGCTAGCTGTATCAGCTAGGCACATCTTGCTTTAATCTGGGGGCAAAGTCATTTAACAAAAAAATAAGGCCAAAAAGGTGAACAAAAAGGTTTGCTTGCTCTCAGCCATCTTTCCTACCGGTTCACTCTCCATGCGTGGAGATGAAAGGGCTGCTGGTTGCTGCCTGCCTGTTCAGTGGTGGGAAACCTCAGCCTGCAATGGAGTCTCTCTTCTGATGAGCGTCCTACAAGGGATCAGTTTGCATCCTTCCCTCTGTTAGATCATCATCACCAAGTTGCCAAACTAAAAGCCACTTGTTTGTTTGTCAGAGTTGGTGCCATCTGTGAGATCGGTGTGATACATTAAGAGGTGTCACGGTTGCCTGGGTCATTACATAGAGATTGGTTTTGAATTGTGTCAGTGAATATGATTGATTTTATATACGGCATCTGTCATTCCCATAATGAGCAAATTCAAATGGATTTATTCCTTGTGTCATTGAAGCACTGAGCCTTGGCCCAGAGTGCTCAGTGCAAGACTGTCTCCTCAAGAACATCTGCTTTCCCAGAAAACACAGTGGAATGTAATATTTTGTGCAAGCAAATGCCAGTTTGGAGAGTTTTTCTGCCTCTGATGCTTGTGGCAGGTTAAAACAAATGAGGGCAATAAGAGAAAGGCTGTTCTGCCTCAAGAATCAAAGAAAGCTGTACTCAAAGTGAAAAGCAGCAAGACTGAAGGCTGCCTTAACTGATGAATGAAGAAAAAATTGGTGAACTTTTGAGGTTCCTCATCCAGAAGCATGGCTTGGTGAGTTCTCAAAGGCATGGCTTGGTGAGTGCTCTGTCCTGGCTATGCTATTGAAGTCATTGCCCCATCAAGCCTCTTGCCAGTGGCCTCAGGACTTTTGGCATTCTGAGGAAGGGCCCAAATTTTAGTCTGAAAGAAAACTAAGCTGCTGTGCAGGCAGAGGAATTCCCAGCCTTCCTCGGAGACACAAACCAGTGTTCAAAAGCAGAAATAAATACTTAATTTTGCAGTTTGTTCCTAGAGAGCTGACTTCATTTCCCTTATTGCTTCCTTCTTGCCAAGTCTTGAGTATTCAATTTCATTCGTTGAAATATTCATTTGTTTCTGCCTCCTGAAAGAAGTGTTAAAAATGAAAGTTGAAATTGCTTCTGGCCAGCTCCTTGCTTTCTTCCCCTTTGCCTGCAGAAAGCTGTGCACTAACAATTACATAGTTTACCTTGCACCTCTGCCAAGTGCTGGCTCATTTGCTCTTTACTGCCTGGGGGAACGACCCAGTTTGTTTCCAAATCCTCCAGTACAGAACTGAAGCCGTGCTGGTCTCGACCTGCTGATGGGATGGTGGCATGATGACTGTGGCATGGATGGTGTTTACTCCGTGCCCCATCAAACTGCTGCTGCTTTGTGCTGCACTCTGCTTCCTAAATGTTCATTGCTTCGGGTAAGTGAACATTTTCAAAGAGATGTCCTTGGGGTGATAGGATACGCAGTGAAAATCAGTACCAACGG